TACTTCTATGGATTCTCGAGGAAAATGTAAAGACTTCCATAAATTACTTAGTACCTTTCAACGCTCGTATTCCAATTTTTTATTTATTTTTTGAGCCTCCCCTAAATTTACTTTGCTCCGCTGCCTATGCATTCCAAATATGATATTTTTTTAAAGTTTCTTTTATGTTATTGTGCATGAAAACCTTGCAATATTAGTCGAAGAATTTGGATTATCGGACTTCACGAATGGTGAACATAGGGTTTTGTTATGTGGCTAACGTTTTTAGACTGTAAAAATAGTTTATTTTATAGCATTTGAGAAGCTTCATAGAGTGCCAAGAGAACTAAGTGTGAAGAAAGTTTCATTAACGCAATAATTAAAATGGCAAATTCTTTCCTCATAGGCATTTCAAATTCAAAATGTAAGCAATTGATTATTTATATATGGTCTAGCAGATCCGAAACATTGTTTTAAATGAATGGCTCTTACATGAAACTATAACCCGAACAAAGAGTTATCAAAATAACTTTGAATCTCTCTTCATCTTTGTTTGTTTTCTATCGAACGAATGCTCGTATTACTAGTGACTATCGCTAACTAACGGATTTTTTATTATGTCATGAAGATAGATCCTATTCACAGCTATGATAGAATCAAATAACCATGAACTTACGATCTTTTATTCTATAAATGTCTCAATTAGATTATTCGTTGAAAATAAAGAAAAGCGGAACTGCGTTCTTATTCTTATGGGCCTCGTTCTTTCAAAAAGTACTTGTTACTAACGACATCTATATCGGATCTTTTTCCTAATAACTTTTTTTTCTTTTTTTATGCTCTCCAGTTCTTCTTTCTAAACTTTTCACGACCAATTGTCAATTTTACTTATTTATTTACTTAAATCTTAGTTTCAGGTTTAAAAATGGTAAAACCAAGCGTTAGTCCAAAGAAATATTGTTTATCAAATAGATTCTTATCATCTATAGTGTAATGGCTAAACATATGTTCATCAAACTTTTATCAAATATGATATTTACACTCAATTTTTAGATAAAATTATTTATATTTACAACGAGTTTTGTATTCGATGCATGAAACCAACGTTTGATGAATAAACATTCTGCTTCAAACGATATTCTATCTAAATTAGTTGACGAGGTGAAAGAATAAAAAAGAACGAAACTTTCTCAAAATATAAAATTGTGTTTTGTTGTTTTCAGAATGAAGATATTGTTTTAGAACCTTTGCTTTCATCGAATCAAGAAGTAAGTATATAAAAAGATTCGAATAATTAATTTGTATGAGCTAGAGAATTGATTTTTCCTCTATGCTTTTGCTGTTAGTCAAATGACAATTTATTGGGGAGTCAGCACCATATACAAGATTCACAAGCATTTTCTTCTACGTTCATTTCGAGAATGATAAGGTGCCGTAAGTGTCGCAAATTCACTAATTTTCTTTAAATGATATTTGTCCTGTATTAATCCCACATGTGTGGTTTTTTTCACTTCAATAAATCTGTGAATTCAAGAAAAATAATACTTTTCTTTTTTAATGTATCAATAGGTTATCCAATGAGTCTACGACAATCTCGTATGTGCTGTTTTGAAGCATTAAAAAGTATTCCGGTAGTTTTTATTCTTGCCATTGTCGCATGGTCCTATTATGCATATGTTGTACAAATGTGTATTTGTAAGTTTGAATTTTAAGTAGAAAATTGTAATTTAGTATTTTTTTTGCTAGTAACTATTGACAATGTTCCAAAAAAAGGTAAGACAGATGAAAAAAAATTGATTGATGTAGAGTCGAACGAACGTATCAAGTTATGCATGCTATGTAATAAATTTCTATTCACGAAAAAGTTGATTCAATTGAAACTCTTCATACTCAACTATTACGTTTCACTAAACTTGGTGATCGCTTTCACCGTAAATAACTACTAGCCTTTTCAATAAAACAAAGTTATCGAAATCAATACATGAATTTAAAATGCTTCTGTTTATATTTAGTTATATATTTATTTATTTATCATCCGTTATTATTTCTCTTCTTATGGTCTTATTATCAAACAATATTTAAACCTTTAGTTGGACCGCCTACTGATGTAACTTTATTTCGAAGAATTTTATTTTATTATTCAATTTTCTTTTTTATAGTTCTTTGTTGGTGAAGCAGAAGGTGAACGTATAGCAACAGCACAAACATTAGATGAACGACGTACGTCTCTTCTTCGTTTTTCTCGTCGAGGAGATTTACCGGTATTAACTCGACATTTTGATGGAAGTAGGTTTAATTAATAAATTTAATATTCAATTAATCTATTTATTAAAAAACATTCCAGGTATTCGTTACTGTTTTTTATGTCGATGCATAAAGCCTGATCGAGCTCATCATTGTTCTCTATGTGGAAAATGCGTTCTTCGATATGATCATCATTGTCCATGGTAGTTTCTTTTTTGAATAAAAATTCAAAACATTTAATTTGTTTTTTTTTTACTTTTTCAGGACAAATAGTTGTGTTTCCTATGCAAATTATAAATTTTTTATTTTATTTCTTGGTTGGGCTTTAGTATTTTGTACTTATGTTGCAGCAACATCATTAGAATATTTTATTCTTTTTTGGCAGGTAATTTTAATGCTTGAATTTTTTTTCTGGCTGCTTTATATATTGATTTTTGTTTTTCAAATTGGCTTCAGGGAATTACTAATGCTCACAAGGTATCCTACATATTACTTCATTATAAAGAAACCATTCGTTGTTTTATTTTCAGGATGTGAACAATTCAGCATCACCAGGTGGAAAATTCCATTTACTTTTTCTCTTTTTTGCGTCAATTATGTTTGCTATTAGTGTATCATCATTATTTTTTTATCATTTATATTTAACTGGAAAAAATCGAACTACACTTGGTAAACAAAGAAATAATTTTTTAAATATGTTAATCGCTTTGATATAATTAGAATCATTCCGAGCACCAATATTTTCTGATGGACCACAGAAAGATGGATTTAATATAGGATGCAAACAAAATTTTCAAGAAATATTTGGAAAAATATTTCTAACCGCAATTATACCCATATGGACAACGTAAGATTTGATTTTTTTCTAAAGTTTGAATTTTGAAAAATTTGATTAAATAGTCGAGGTGATGGAGTTCATTATCAAGTGAATAGTGTATTACTTGGTGGTTTGCAACAACAACAACAACAACAACAACAGCAGCAGCAGCAGCAGTTTGGTAATATGAGGTATGCTTTGAAAACAACATTATAGTTTAACAGTTGGTAAAGTAGATATGATTTTGTTCATTAACTAAAATGTTAGAAATAGGACAAGAACTGGGAAATTTCAAACTATTAATCGAACTAAACTAGAAGAAAACAAATTTGTTTCAGTACCCAATTGATTGAGTGTCTAGTTGATGAATTGACAGTTGAATTAAAGAATAAGATGTTAATTAGCCATGGCTGAAATGAAAAAGAAGTTATCACCAGCGTCGGTATAAATAAATGAGAGTTCATTGATATAAGAATTATTGGGTAGGACATATATAATGAGAGACAAAATTTTACGGCAGTCGTATATTCGAGTTTTCTTCTCGATGGTAATAGCTAGAAGAAATTTGAACAAAGATTTGATTGCCTGAAACAATTTAGTATCAATATTGATGCGTCTAAAAATGTCATCAAAATTTCTTGAATGAGGATCTCTAGAAAACCAAGATCCCAAAGCCAGCTTCCTGAATCGAACCAGAATCTTTTCTAAAACAATTTTATTCGGTACAGTAATGCTTGTTGTCTTCGAGCTTTCCATGATTTTGTATAATCGAACTACGTTAGATTGAAAAATGAAACCATAAGCATTTTTATTTTACTTTGAAAAATCGCTATCATTTTGCTATATTTGACGCTTTGGAATATGTCTAAACTTGAATTAAATTCAATGATGTAAAGTTGTGGAGAGCTTGAAGACAACACACATTGCTCTATTCAATAGAATCATTTGTAAAAAGCTTCCGATCGTATGCAGGCTGCTGGTTTTTGGAGTCTCGATTTTCTAGAAACCCTCATTTAAGAAATTTTGATGAACTTTTCAGACGCGCTCATCTTGATACCAAATCGTCTTAGCTATTCAAATCTTTTTTCAGCTTTCTTCTAGCTATTACTATCGAGGAGAAAACTCGAAAATACAACTGTCTTAAAGCTTTGTCTGCCATTATTCGGTGAATACCAAAATTATTCAACATAGTTTATTTTCAATCTTTTCCGCTACTGCAAATGTTAGAAAGAATCCAAATAGTGAGTAAATTGGTTCTAAAACGCATACAAGGAAATAAAAATTATTATCAGCTTTTTAAAGACAAGAGCTCCAGAGAACCAAAAGATTAATTTTTCAGCACTTGCAAACCGTAAGTATAAGTTTGTTTCGACCACATAGAACCACAGATCAAACAAATCTCTACAAAATGATATGTCTTCAAGTTCTATGTGACATTTTTTAATTGAGACACAGCAATCTTAAAGAAATTTCTTAAGTAGCTGGTCCGATTTCCTTTAAAAAAAACCACCTGCTGACTTTCAATCAAGTCGCTGTATCTCAGTCAAAAAAAAAAACGTTGCAAAGAACTTAGTGATATCACATTTTGCAGATAATGGTTTGCTCTATCAGTTTATAATGTCTAGACAAAATTATATTTAAGTGTTCTAAATGTTGAAAAACTAGGATTTTAGTTTTCTGAAGTCTTTATCTTTGCAAACTTGATAATAATTTTTGTATCCTTATATTCTTGTTGGAAAAACGCTTATTTAATAACACCTGAACGAAGAAAAAGTACAAAATGGTGAATTCAGATTATTCTCAAGTGAAGTTTTTAAAATGTTCGAATTTCGGACAGTCTCATAATATGAAAAAGATGACGTACTCAAAAAGCATTTTCACATTTATTTCGTTGTCTATAGCATTACTTAAAATATGTTGAATTCTATAAACAAAATATTTCGATTTCTACATGTTTAAGTATCTTTCATTTGATTTTTTTTATAGAAATAAGTCTGATTCAGTTCTGGTAGAGGTTTTAACGGTGTATCTTCTGAAAAAACCAATCAAGTCCAACAGTTGAAAAGAAAAAAATGGACTTTTAATATTTTTAATTTTCAATAATATCATGCATGGGTACGAATTTTTGCAATCGACCCAGGACTGGAGCTAATTGATATCGGGCAGATATTTTCAGTCATATTTTCAAACTTTTATTTTATATGAAAAAGTATACCATTTAGTTTCTTTCATAAACAGCAACAAAAACAAGATATCATCTCAAATTTTACAAAAAACCAAATGATTCAGGATTCACTTGATGTCTTTCTACTTCTAAAATCTGATGAATCTCATTAAGCATACGTTTACTTATTGGTCATGACGGTAGAATGGAACGTAGCTTAAGTGCCAAACGTCATAATTGTGGACACATGCATGAATGCTTTTTCCATTACGATAATACATATTCATCTTTTTTTGATAAATCATTTTCCTGTCTACGTATTCAATCACTTCGTTGTATGGTTTATCATCATATGTAGATAAATTTCCATTAAAAATGAATTCTTTTAGTAAAACAATATTGCTTTCCGGCTCTGTCTCCTGTTCTCATTTACAAGAAATTACTCAAATTTTCCACTCCTTTGCTTTTATATAGATTAACAGCTTGAAAAAAGTAATCATATTTTGAGACATTGAGGTCTCATTAATTGCTGGATCGAGTCCTGGCATAATCTGATACCTAGGCTCAGTGTCGAGTACCTATCCCAACTGTAGAACACTAGTTTGGAATCGATCAGAGTTTTTCATAGTCGATACCAGTATTAGGTCTGTCCTTCTCTCGAAAAATTCTCAATTAAACTATAATACTAATCTGATGACGACACCGTGAAATAATGAAGAACTGATGAAGAAGAAGAGAGGATTTAACGTAAACGAAAATCAACAATGAGTGTTATTATTTTGTGAAATAAAGTTTATTAACTTATGCTTTAGACAAAAAAATAAATTTTGACTTTTGTTTTTATTTAGTAATGATGTGCTTTTGCCATTAGACACAACATCGAATTCCGTGAACAATGATCGTAATTATCTGTTGAGTGAAAATAACAATAATAAATAAGCAAAAATAGGTTTCATTTTACTTATTAATTCTTTAACAACACATTGCATTTTTTCTTCGAGTTTCCTATGTATATTTATTATTAACTTCTTTTTGTCAGCCTAATCGATCGAATTCTTCTTTGTCTTGTTATTTTACTTTCACATGTTCGGTCTTTGTTTTTTTGTTGTTGCTTGCTTATCTATCTGGTTTATTGTTCGTCTTAACATGAATTTTTTTCCCGCTCCTAAAAAAACAAAATAAAGAATTTCTTGGGTTCCAAACTATTTCTAGATTAAACATCTAATCTAACAATGTCGAATACAAAAACTAAGAAAGGTGAAAGTGGTAGCAAAAAAAAACAAATTACAAATGAAGTTGTTACTCGGGAATATTCTGTTAATTTACATAAACGATTACATGGCATGTATGTTTTGCTATATTTTTTATAAATACAAATTTCATTGAATAATTTTTAATAGAGCATTTAAAAAACGTGCACCACGAGCAATTAAAGAATTGAAAAAATTCGCTGAAAAAATGATGAAAACACCTGATGTTCGTATTGATTCAAAATTAAATAAGGAAGTTTGGTCACAAGGAATCAAGTTAGTAATTCATTATCTTTCTTTATTTACTTAAAATTCGATTTATTCTAGTCATGTTCCATATCGTGTTCGAGTACGATTAGCTCGTCAACGTAATGAAGATGAAGATTCACCACATAAACTCTATACATTGGTCACATTTGTTCGAGTACCTTCATTTAAAGGTTTGGATTTGTTTTTGTCTTTAGGAATTTTTTTTTCATATATATTTTTTTCGATTTTAGGATTACTTACTACCAATGTTGACAATGAATAAATATACAAAACACTGGATAACATCAATTAAGATTATTATCATTTTCTATCGTTGTTTTGTTGAATAAAGTTGAAAGAAGAAAAACAAAACGAAGACGAATGTTTTAACATTCAGTCAAAAATGAAATAAAAAAAATTTATATATTTTAGTTTTAAAACTTTTTGATGCAATTTCTCAGTTGGATATACGTTCTATTTCAATCGATGCTTATCTGGAAGCTTGGCGAGATTTTATCTCATTTATGAGATTATTAGTCTGTAGGATCAAAAAATTGATTTTCAATTTAGCACATTGATTGCAAAAATATTTAAGTTCTATTCGAAGACTGAAAGTTTTAGAAAAAAAAGAAAACTTTCCTTGTCAACTAGAGCTATCATAATTAATTCGCAGTGATTCTTATGTCTGTTGATTATATTAATTGTTTATCGCTGTCAATTAAAAGAAAGTTATCTCTCGAAATTAACAAGACTTCACATAAAGTATCATATTTAATCTCATTATCTTGGCATGATCACTTGGGATCCACGCACACCCCAACCAATCTCATCATATTGTTATAACGATGCAATATTTAGATGAAACTATTCTCCTTAAGAGAGGGTCCGCCAGACGACCTGCCAAGCCGGTACCACTCAAAATTTAGATTTTCGATTTGATATTCTGAAACGATAGGCCATGGTTAGGACCCTATAAATCCAAAATATGAACTCTTTATACCTCTCCTGTAAAAAGTTTTGAAGCATACAATGTGACACGTCGTTTGACCTTGGTCAAAAAACTGGATTTTTAGGGTGTTCTCGGTATTTTGGANATGTGGTGTTCGAGCCCTCAAGAATGCTTTTCATGTTTCTACTTCATGCGTTATGGGACATAAGGAGATCGCAGTACCCTCAGGTCGTAAGATTGATCCTAACTTCTCTATAGATGAGTTTCGTGCTGCTCTCGATTAAAATGACATGGCTGAAGGCTTGCTTCTTTTTGTGTAGTGCGTCTCAATTGTATTTTATAGTTTTTATTAGTTCTTTTGTGTTAAAAAATAGGATCAATAATTATAACATGTATTATCGAAATAGAACTAAACTGAATTTCATGCATTGCTTAACCAAATACGTTACTCACAAGAACAACTCTATAATTTCAGATCAATTTACGAATAATCTAGTTTGTTTAAACTTTGTTTTTGTCTTCTGAAATACTTTTTCGATACAAACACTTCAATTAGAACAAATTTTGCACACTCTATGAACTCTTATAGTTCTCATCACATGGTCTAAAACAAAAAGAAATTGAATTCTCAATTTAATAGCGTTAAGAAAGCTCGATCTTTATACTCAACAAAATAAAAAATTCATGTGTATTTTTTTTTCAATAAATTTTGATATTGACAAGCTTTAGTGCTGCATGTTTTAGTATTTAAAATAACAAATTTGAAAACAGAAACTCTACACACATTCAATCCATCTATGAAATGTATAGATAGAATGTATTTATCAGATTTGTTTATTACATCCAATTGATGAATTTTCTATGAGATAGTTTTTATATTTCATTCGATATAATTAATAGCTAAAGAATGATCTATGTCTATGAGACTTGAATCTTTTATGCTATTTTGTGTTTAACTTAAAAATGAATTTTTTTTTATGTATAGCACAAATAGCTCATGAAACTTAACTGAATTATAGTAATAGTAATAATAATGCTCAACATAGTCAAGAAAGTGTAGTCTAAATGATATATCAATGTGTGACGAATTCAATAAGCTGCAACATTACTAATCTCATTGAGAAAGAAACGATAGACTGAATGAAATCAATGATATTTATATCAAAGTATTCTTTGATAAAGATTTTTAATATCGTATATTAGACTTTTGCAGATGAAATATTTCATTTTATGTTCTCGAGTAACAAATTTCGTATCTTTTCAATATACTTCTTTTCAAATCATTTTTGTCTTCATATTTTTCATGTATTTTGAAGATATCGATTTACGACTAATTAATCTATATATTCTCTGCAAATATAAGTAAATATCAATCAAACTAAGCCCAAAGACGAAACAAAAAGACAACAACAAAACGACAATAATAAAAAAGAATGTTTCAATTTTCTTGGCATATACTACATTTGAATAATCTGTAGATGTACGAATAATTACGCATGTATCATAAAAACAAAATGATGCTTTTTGATATTTTGAGAGAACTAACTATCAATTATATTTAATCCTTTTTTGTGAGAAATAATCGTTATTATATGGAACTGGTTATGGCATGATTCGTATTTTTAAACATGCTAATTCGTGACATATGTATATATATACAATGGTTAGTATGTTTAATTTTTTGTGTTCTATAATTCAATATTCATTTCACTAAAAACTACATTCAACCAATCTTCGTTCTCCTTGGTGAATTTCAATATCGTGAATGAAAGAAAACCATTTGATACTCAGCACCTGACTAAGAAATTCAATATTGCACCTACTTCTTCTCTGTGTCTAGTAAGATTTAATTCATTTTTAATGATTTTTCTCTCTCTAATTCGATTTTTCTTAAGGATTGATGCATGTATATAAAGCACTGAGAACCCATTTTATTTGCATCGAAACAATCGTGGTAAGCAAATTATTGTGGATGATTTAGAGAAGCCTCATAATTCAGCAATGTTTTGTCTTGCTTTCTTTAGGTTGCTGAGTGTCACATCAAATAAATATTTGGTTCCTGATATTAATAGTATTGATACAATGTTCACTATTTTATCTCTTGTAGCGTGTCTATCATTGGTGCGTACCACAGAAGCTTTCGTCATGAATGCTTCGTATGTTGCCAATGATGATATCCAACCAAAATTGATGGTCACTAATTTAGCTACTATCCTACGCAATGCGGGTCTTAATGTCGTGGAAGTTAGTGGCTGGACGACGCGTGGTCATGGACAAATGAATTCTGTAAAGAGTATTATTGTTCATCATACGGCTGGTCCAGCAACTGGTGACATGCCTTCATTGAACTTTATTCGTGACGGTAGTTCGAGTCTTGCTGGACCACTCTCACAACTTGCATTAGGTCGCACTGGTACATGGTATGTCGTCGCAACAGGTCTTTGTTATCATGCGGGTGTAGTTACTGATTCATCATTGTATTCGAATGCCAACGCCATTGGTATTGAAGCTGAAAGTACAGGGGTTCCTGCTGCCAATAGTGGACATGTACATTGGCCCGAAGTACAATGGCAAAGTTATATACGTGGCGTTCGGGCCCTCAAGAATGCTTTTAATGTTCCTACTGCACGAGTTAAGGGACACAAGGAAGTCGCATCACCGTTAGGCCGTAAAATTGATCCCAACTTTTCTATGGATGAATTCCGTGCTGCTCTCTAAAACAACTCGGTTGCATAATTTTATTCTCTTTCTCTTTTTTTTGTATGGGCAATGATATTTTAAATAAAAGAGTATCTATTGCTTCTATCCAATCTTTGTTTATAGATTGAATCAATATTTGCTGATAAATTTCGCAGAAAAGTATAAAGATTTATTTTTGAAATTATTCTCCATACCAAACGATCATAAACAATGAGAACATCAAAAGATCTAACTACCAACGAGAAAAGTATTGTAAATTATATTTTTCATATGAAACATAGAGTTTATGGTTGGAATCATATAATGAAGATGGATATGCATAGTAAAAGAGTAAACACTTATACTGTAATTAGAAATATTTAAAACGAAGATACAGTGTTGATATATCGGATTTGTTCTTCTCAATGCATTTTTGAATAAGATTTGTGTATAAATCATCGTATGCTTCAAAAGTGGCATTCTCTACTGCTGAAAACAATGCCGAAGTATATAAATGGTTAACTTATAGCTCTGATTTTAACGCTATTTTGCTAGTAGGGAATATCATTAAACAGAAAATTAAAATAAAGAATTTGAATTTATAAGGTGAACTCTAAAATGAAGTCCATAAAGTCTACAACGATCTATCAACAAGTGTTGGTCAATAAAGGCATTTTACAGGCGTACTCACTGCATCAGCACTTAGTATATGGATTTTAAGCTTTTAATTATATAGGAAGAGTCTATACTTGCACTATTCGTATCTATTTTCATGAAATGGTTTCATTCATAAACTATATATTTATTATCAAAAATAAGAGCTACACTACTTTTGTTATTGGTAGTAATCACAAACTATGCTTTAAAAACAAAAGTGAAATATTTTACACTGAACTTGGATTTTTTACATGAAGTGTTTGTAAACAACTATGTTGATCCCCTTCATAACAATTGTGAAATCGAAAAAACATTCTACAGCTGTATGAAAACTTTTAGCAATATCCTATTGAGTATCGAGAATTCGTTTAGCGTAATACGAAAAACCATCTGACAATATTTTTAAAACCCTCATAATATTCATCGAAAGTGATGCTTTATTGATAGCTAGAAAAATTCCTTTCACCGAAATCATCTGTAACCTAGTCAGAGATTTCTTGTTTTGCAACGTTCGATGAAAAATTATTATACAAACAAACAAAATGAGTCCTCGACAAAATTATATATGAAGTTGAATGAAATAAATTTAAAGAGAATGATCAATCAGTTATGTTGAAGCATATTGACTATGATTAAAAAAGAGAAGTACTTTCGACAAAAAACAAATCATTCGATCTTTTAGCATTCAACAGACATCAATTATTAATGAAAACATAAGAGAAGAAAAAAAAATTTTATTAAACATGAAAGAATAAATAGAGATCTTTTGTTTAACAAAATCCTCTTACAGTAAAGTCACATTTTCTCAATATAATTTATAATAGATCATAATCACCATAATAAAACTTGAATGTTATATAAATAATCATATTGAAGTTACAAAAAAATCAATCAATCTAGTGCATAGGACTCTTTTCACTAGGCCCTAACTTATATTTACATAGGCAGCTTGCGCAGAATGTCCGTCTGTATATAGCCAAAAGCTTAAGATGTAAACATGTCCAATTGTCACTGGATATGTTTGACGTAGAAAATCATAGGCATATCGACACGCACCTTTATAACAATACGAGCCTGTGTGACAATTTGATTGAGTTATACTGCCAGCTGTTGTTCCACAATTGATACTGGAACAGAACACTTGCCAACCAACTAAACTACCATTCTAAAAACCACTATTGACCAGCATTTCAGAGTTGGATGCATTTATATCTATAAGACTGACATCATCAAGATGCCAAGTCTTCACTGGATTTACAGCTTTAAAACCAAATTCTAATGTGTTCATGCCAGTGGATGCGGCTGTGTATGTATATGTTTGTTTCTGATAAGTCGTTGGTGAAGTTGTATATGTAATAAAATAATTAGTAGATGCATTGCAGGAATTGTCTATAAAAATGAAACAAAATAATAGTTAACATTTGTTTTTAGGTATATTTACTAGTAACAGTTTGGGAGACAGAAGTTGTATCATGTGTCGTGGTAACAGCTGAAATTAAAAAAANCGTAAAAAATCGTAGGCATTTTGGCACACACCTTGATAACAATATGAGCCCGTATGACATTTTGATTGAGTAATATTACCACTTGTTGTTCCACAATTGAGACTGGAACAGAGCACTTGCCAACCAATTAAAGTACCATTCTCAAAACCACCATTTACAAGCATTTCAGAGTTGGATGCATTTTTATCTATAATACTGACATCATCAAGATGCCAAGCCTTTGCTGGATTTACAGCTTTGAAACCGAATTCTAATGTGTTCATACTAGTGGATGCGGCTGTGTATGTATACGTTTGCTTCTGATAAGTAGTTGGTGAAGTTGTGTATTTAATAGCATAACTAGTAGATGTATTGCACGAATTGTCTATAGAAATGAAACGAAATAGCAGTAAACATTTTTGTTTTCAAGCACTTACTTGCAACAGTTTGAGAGATAGAAGTTGTATCATATGCTGTGATAACAGCTGAAATAACAGAAAACAAAACAAAATGCAACACTATATGAAAGCTTTTTAGATATGATCCTTTTAAAACTGAAATTACGACCAACGGTACATTATCTTTACAAATATAGTACTAGAAAATCTTTGATAATTCTTTCAATCCGTAATTGAAGTATTTTCCTTAAGGATTATTTCCTTTTCGAAACGAGTTATTGACATCATTGTTTTACAAGCAAGAAACTACTTATTAGACTCTTCTTAACTGTGATACACTTTTCAAGCACGCTTACTTATAATTATTGAGATATTATGAATTATAATATCGCTCAGGTATAACTTTTCTTTCAAAAGTTCTTAGATCAATTTAAATATAATCATTCATTTTCCATACAGATAAATACACTCAAGCCTTTTCAATTGATATCTGTTTGAGTTCTCTTTTTTTTTCTTAACTTTATATGAAGGTTTTCACTGACGGATAGGCTTATCATTAAAATTGATTACTCCATGTACTATCACTTCTCAGTTGCGCTCTTTCCCATTTATATTTTCTTTTTGCAAATTGTTTTGTTGAAGCATGTTTAATTAATCAGTACAATTACGTTTTCTCGTCTAGTGTTACTTTATGATAGTTATAGAAGCTTGGATAATGCCAAACGATTTTTCTATCAGTATCTTACAACAATATTTCAATGATCTAAAATCATATGAGAAGTTAAGATTAAAAAGCGTCAATCTTACGTGTTCTAAGTGTAATACACAAAAGAATATGTTCTAGGTACCAACAAGATTTGTTTTTTTATCATTGCATAATTATCAAGAATTTTAACAGCAGAGTTAGCACTCTTTCGAAAATATTTTTCTTATTGGAACATAAAATTTATAGTATCTATGTGAAAAATCAACATCAATAGGTCTACAGTAACTGATCGATTGTCATATAAATAATTTATCTTCTTACCGGTCTTTTTTAACTATAAAAGATGTAAACGTTTCTATTATTACATGACGAAAAATCCCAAAAAATAATATTGCGAATTCAATTCAAGTTCAATAGAATCAAAAAGCAATGGTCGATTGTTTTCGTTACATTCTATCAGATGAGAGTTCTTTAAATTCTTTTCAGCTCAGATATTCAATTCATAAATGTTCGACTAATTAATATTATCGTTATGATATTATAAACTTACTTGTATAACTTGTTGTGACCGTATTCGAGTTTTCTGTTGTAGGAGTTTCTATAAAGAAATAACGAGACCATTAATAAAAAATGTTAATCACTGTTTGTAGACAAATTCGAACTCGAATTCGAAAACGAAACAAACCAATGTAAAGTGAATAAAATTTAGAAAATATCCAAGTTTTTCTCGAAACTTTCGACATTGAAATAAAGTATATTATTTATCAGAAATATACTTTGGAAATGGATATTTCTATCAAGCTAAATGGTATTTAGTATACAAGAGTCAAAATTATTGTGCATGTTTGAAAAAAAGTTATCTGTTTGTTTAATATTATTCAAGGTTTGCTGTGAAGCCGCTTGTTTTTATCAACGATTTAAATAATTTTAATCTATCAGTTATATTAAATCGAAAACTAAGCAAATGAGAATAAAGAATAAACGATTTGCAATAAAATCGTATTCAGATGAATATTTATGAGTTTTCAATTAGAATAGAGATAACACAAGCTGGACATGTGTCTTTTCGTAGCTTTTTACATATGCTATTTCTTTGAAACAGGATTTTATGAAACTAACATTTCAATCATCAAACAATTATTAAATCATATAAAATAGAAAGCAATGAGATTGTATCATATTTTTCTTGAAAAATAAAACAATCTTAAATTGTTGCCCATTGTATTCAGTGTAAATAACTTTTACATAATTGCTTACAACAGCAACAATATTTATAGAATGAACAAATCAATTCTCTTAACTACTATGGGCGCCAAAAGTCAAGGCAGTCGGATATTTTTCGAATAACTCTTGGTAGGAACAAGATAGAGATCTATAGTTTTCAGCATTTCATAGCCAAGACTCAGGAGTATATTCTCATGAGCAAAAGCTTTGCTGAGAAAAAAAATCCAAAGATTGGTTGTTCAGCGGATCTTTGGAAAACCTCGCTGGATTTCTGGAAACTGTCATAGAAGAATATTGATTCCTTTTACATATTCGGAATCAGCATTGAAAACTGAGTCGATCCATGTATGGTTCGATTCTTTTCATGAAATTTTTTTTTCATCGAAAAATTCATCCCAGGTCCTCTGACGGGTAGGTAAAAAATGAATTCAGTCAAAAAGTCACTTAGACAATTGAAAGCAGGTTCGAGGTTCTAAACTGCTAGAAGCACATAAAATGGCGAATGAATAAACAATAAAAACGCCGTTTTGACTGAGTTCATTTTTTACCTGACCGTCAGAGGGACTAGAGATGAATTTTTCGATGAAAAAAAAAGTTCATGAAAAGATTCGAACCATACATGAATCCACTCAGTTTTTGACGCTGACTTCGAATATGTCAAAAAAAATCAATATACTCCTACGATAGGTTTCAGAAATCCAGCGAGATTTTCCAAAGATCCGCTGAAAAACCAATCTTTGGATTTTTCTCATCAAAGATTTTGCTCATAAAAATATGCTCCTGGATCTTTGCTATCAAATGCTGAAAACAGCAGATCTCTATCTTGTTCCTATCAAGAGTTATTCAAAAAACAACCGACTGCCTTGAGTTTTCGCGCCGGTAGTAGTTACTGAGCGAATGAAATATGTCTTCTGTGCTATTTCTCTCTGAGTGTTTTAGCATTAATTTAGTTTGAAAAAGAAATCGTCACTTTTTTTCTATTTAAAGTAACTGATTCCATTAAGCTTTCTTTTATAACATCATTATCAAGTAAGAGAAATATAATTTTCTCTTCGTTTTATAAAGGTGAGAAAGATAGCTGTCAAAAATTTCCTATTCGGCTTATAACCTTGCTAATATGATTAAAATTTTTCATAATAAACAAAAAATAAGTAACATTTTATATTGTGAGCAAACTTGTCAATATTTTCTGGATGTGACGAACTAAAAGTTCGGCAAAAAGTTCAGGATTCTCTCAAAAAGCGCTACAAACCATGACTGAAAGAGGTGAAAGAATTAAATCTACTGTGATTTGATTCTTTCTATAACAGACGACCTACTGCCAGGTCGTCCCTTCGTCGAAGCCCCTTCAATCCTATTCACCTCGCGATTGTATTGTCTGCTTATTTTTTATTTCACCTTATGCCAGAGAAAGACTAATGGTGTTTCAAAATTCGATTGACGTACAAAGTTACCATGAAGCTATAAAAAATTGATTGAATGTATTAAGAATTTTCGCAGAAAGTTAGATACTTTAGAGTGAAGATAGGGGGCATCCTGCATAATCAGGGATCCCGGTTATGAGTCAAGTACCATGTGAATAATTGACAATATTTGTGTTTTTATGTAATTCATAGAAAAGTATATAAATTTTTAAAGCTTACGAGGGAAGTCCTTCAACTGATTAATCACTTTGGAGTCAGGATTATGTGCATCATGCAGATTCGAATGAATTATGAATGTCCTAAAAAGAGTTCAAGACATTGGTAGATAGCTGCAAAGAGAGTACATTTGACGGTATTTTTTGAGTCAATATCGTAGTCCTCTTGTGAAACACCAAGAAAACTGATTTTCAAATTTTAATTTCAAACATTGCATGAAGACAGACCTTCATAAGAAAAGTTTATTTTGAAAGTTTCAGGTCTCTTAATTTGCTCGTATCCTAAAATAAGAACATAGAATTCGCCGGTGTATATGATAGATATAAAAAAGAAAAAACTTTTTATCATAGTGATATATCTTAGAAAAGGAACAACACAAAGATTTTGAACTTTCACAATAGACGTTTTTCATTGAGATCGATTTCTATTCAATGTTTCAAGTTAAAATTTGAAACTAAGTTTTTCTGCAGTTCCACAAGAGGAGTATAGCATTAACTTAGAAAATACCATAGAAATATCGTATCTCGGTAGTCATAATGCAAGGATCTGAATTCTTTTCAAGATATTCATAGCCCAATAGAAGCAACATCGTGCACATAGCCTAGGCTCATATGCCATGAATCAGTGATAGGCTTCCATTGTTAATGTACGTTTTTTTTTTCGAAAAAATTATTTGGTGCTTACCGACAGAACTTCTGCTTTCGAAGCTTATAACAGTTGTATTTTCACCAATGGTCATCGCATGTAGATGTCCTAAACGTAGTGCTGCTGAAAACAGTATACATTCTTGATAAAAACCATAATAATTAGCTGTGACACAGTTAGATTTCGCATAGCATTGACAAATACATGAATCACGTGATATAACGTTAGAGATATTAGCTAACCAGTAATTAGCATCGATCGGATCAAATATTGCATTATTTATTACAGCAATGCGTATTGCTAATGACAATTGATGGAAAGCAATGATAAGTAGAAAAACCTCCCAACGCATTTCCTTAACGACTTGATCCTATGTAAGTAGTTCTAAAAGAAGCAAAAGATTTTTAATACACAAAATATTATTATGCAGTAAAAATGCTTTATTACTCATAGAATGGATTGGAATATCATGTTTCAAATGTATTATTTGAACATTTTAATACATGTCGATATCTATCTCTTAAAACTTCTTATATGCTGATGCTATAAACATTATTCATCTGCATATATTATGTACTTGAAGCTACAAAGAGAAGCTAGCTACATTATATGTAATAATTATTAAAAAAAGAATTCTATAATGCAAACTATTTCAAGAAATATTCGCTTAAAGTATTATTCTTCACGAATATTCTAATAATTTTGAAACTTACAAGAATTAAATTTATATGATCAGAAAATATGTAAATAATTACTATATATCTTTGTAAGCAAAAAATACAATAGCACTAAATTGCAATTATAATCAATGGTAAGTAAAATCCTTTGTCAGACATTGTTACCTCTAAGCATTTTCCATTTCTTTACTTTCAATTCCATTTTCCATCATCATCAATCAGTACGTCATTACTTAAAAATATTTCTACTGATGAAAATATGTGATGATTACCGGGAGGTTTTTTTCAGTGTGAGTTCCGTAAAAGTCAAGAGACGGCGGAATGTAGGAGACATACAGTCTAAATAGTTGAAAATTGTTTATTGTTACTCAGCAAAATAGGATCCTCGCCTGGACCCCGATTGAATAGTTCACTGATATGCTCTCTGAAAATGACGAACATGGAAGAAAAATCAACATAGTTTCTATTGATTAACTGCTACCAATTATAATACATACAGAACTCTGACTTTGTCTTTCTTCAAGACTCATTTGTTATCAGGAAACATCATTAACCTGCAAAAACTAACCAGAAGAATGATTTTTTTTCTTCAATCTTTCTCAGACGTACGATATATATATTGCTTACGCAGAGTTAATCACAACAGGAGTATTAATAACAAGTTCGATAAAAGTGACTCAAAATTACTAACATTGACATGAGATACAGATTGAACATAAATAAAGTATTAAAACTATGTGTGTTTTACAAGTACGTAGTAGAAAAATCTTACTTTTTATATGTACGAGTAAAATTGACTACTGAAATGATATTAATGACGAAATAGGAAATCAGAAGCTGATATTCGTTTTTACTACACTTACAATTGATAATTTCTGTGTTTATTAACAGAAGGAGTCTTCAATAAACCTTATAGACATTTAAAAAATTAGTTATTTACATTGACTACATTTTAGCATGACTATGAAAAAAAAGAAAATCGATTACGAACAAAAAAGAAATCTCACATAATAGTTACATTCTTACACATAGCTTTTAGTTTAGCATTTGGCTATGATTTTCACTATCTATTTGATACTTTGTCATCAACGTCATATGCCATTCACTATATTGTATTTCATTCACCATTCTGCATCAGTTAGTAAACAATACTTTTCTCAGTCCAACGTAAAATTCTAATTTCTGCTTGTCTGATTAATTAAATAATACCATCAGTAGTTATTTCCTATTTTTAACCTTTTTTAAACTGCATAATACCCACGCAACTAATATCTTTTCTGTTAATAAATATACATTTTCGTAAAAATTACATTGCTAACGAGGGAACTACCTGAACATATACCAGCCATCTCAGATTATATTGAATTCATAAGAGTGCCTTGGTAAGACTAGAAAAACCCTAAAAGAGTTGGTGTCCATAGGTTTCTGGAGCTGAGTTATGAACTTTTTACTGAATTTTCGATCCAGCTTTAGGTATTTATCGATAAATCAGATAGTGAAATTTCAATCTAGAACTTTACTTATAGATAAGCTCAAATGATTCAAAGCATATCCTGAAAGTTTCAGTTCAGAGTTTCCTTATTTAATTTTCTGTTAAATACTTAAAGCTGGATCAAAAATTGAATGAAACGATCATAACTCGACTGCAGAAGACTACAAATACGAACCCTTTTCGGATTTTTCTTGTCTTATCGAGCTCTTCTTGTGAGTCCAATATGAGCTAAATTAGCCGATATCAGCTCAGGTAATTCCCTCATAAGATATGCTTAAATAAGTCTTAAGTAACAGATTTTGATTCTCACTAGACTGACTAAACACCTAAATTCAAGTTAAGATAGCAAAATATTTGTGATTATAAAATTAAACAAACATGATAAGATACTAACCTTATACAGGTCGGCAATGTTTACTTCTTTTCTATGTCTGACTTTAAACGCGATTGTAAATAGTATTGTGGCATGATATTCAAAGTATCCATTAATCGCTGACTTACTTTAACGATTCCTCAATGTAAAGGCTATCAAATATAATTAACAAACTTCTTACATCTTTCTGTTACAAATAGAATAGCAAGAGAGAATAAAATAATCTTTATTTCTGTCCATGCCCTATAATCAATGCACAATAACAGTAACGTTTCGGAAAGATGTATTAACAATAAAAAACTGGTGTTTATGATGACAGAAAAAATGCAGTTTCTTGTTTTGAATGCTCAATCACATTCATATTTTCGAGATGACAGCAAAATGATATCAATTTCGTATATATATATATATTATTTTTTTTAATCTAACGACTTAATAAGAGTAATTATCAGACAATTAGTCCTGAATAACATTGCAATTTTTATTCTTTTTATGATATATTGTAAAAAAGGTGTTTTTATAACATTCATATGTATAAAGAATTAAAAAAAAGAAATTAGCGTAATTAGAAAAGTGCAAGAATTGAAATGCAATGACATCATCACACAAAATATTTATTTTCTAGAAATACAGCTCCCTATAACATTATGTTCAAGTTCTTTTCACTTATTAGTTCATATAATTTTCAATTCATTTGCTGTTATTAAAGTGTATTTTTTAATTTCACACATTTCAATGCTTACGTACACGAGTGTGTAGGAGTAATGTTCTCTAATAGAATTCTTGATATATATGATAGCATATATTCTATTTTGACCATGTACGCACATACATCAATTAATTTTTATATTTAGTCACTTTTTTGCGGAACTTAAGTAATCAATAAAGAAACTATATGATAAGAATTAATCACATCCAAGCAATTTATATTTGTTGACAGAAAATCAAGTGTCATTTATTTTATGGAATATCATTGATCTATAACAGACATTTTTGATTAATTAAATGATTTCAAGAGAGGAAAAACATCCTTCAAATATTACAACAGGTCTTTGTTATCCTGCTGATGTAGTTGTTTATTCATAGCTATATTCTAATGCCAATCAAATATATATTGAAGCTGAACGTAGAGATATTCCAGCTAGCAACATTGAATATACATAATAATCTGATGTACAATGGCAAAGTTATGTATGTTGTGTTCAAGCCCTCAAGAATGTTTTTAATGTCCATACTGCATGTGTTAAGGAACACAAGGAAGTTATATCATCTTGCCAATAAATTTCACAGAAAAATATAAAGATTCATTTTATTTATATTTTTTTTGCCATTATTCTGCATAACAAACGGTCATACATAATGAGACAATCAATCTATCTAAACACAGACTATACTTCAAACTAGCGTAAAATATTTTGCATTGAACTCAAAATTTCAACATCAAGTTATTACAAACAATTGTATTGATTCACAACATAACAACTGTGAAACTGAAAAGAAGTTTTGCTATTTTTTTTTGTCACTTTTTATATTAACACATTCATTGTCGAGAAATCGTTTATCGATAATTAAAAAAATCATTTGACAATATTTCTAAGCTTCTAATAATATTCATCGAGATGAGCATTGTATTAATAGCAAGAAAAAAGCCATGTAGATTGTTTAGAAATTTCTTTCATTCAATAATGTGTCACCTAGATGAAGATATATTATTTTTCGATGTTTGATTGAAAAAATTCATAAAAGCAAATATGATGATTTATCTATAATTTATACATGAAGTCTAGTGAAATCAATCTAAAAGATATGATCAATCAACTTGTTGAAATACGTTGGCTATCGTTAAAAAAGGAAAAAGTATTTCTGACAAAAAGAAACCATTCGATTTTTCATCATATATAATACACAGATCATCTATGATATTAATGTAATCTATTTAAGTTTTACATTTCTTATCAACAACCAAAATATTAATATAGTTCGGCTTTTTTTAGGTCATGTGAGAATACAAAAGAAGATCACAATTACTCTAATAAAACTCGAGTAATATATAAATAATCATATTGAAATTACAAAAATAATCAATTAATCTAGCAGATAGGATTCATGCGCTAGTTTCTAACTGATATTGACATAGGCAGCTTGTGAATGATGTCCATCAGTGTATAACCAAAAGCTTAAGATGTAAACGTGTCCATTTATCACTGAAAATGTTTGACGTAAAAAATCGTAGGCATTTTGGCACACACCTTGATAACAATATGAGCCCGTATGACATTTTGATTGAGTAATATTACCACTTGTTGTTCCACAATTGAGACTGGAACAGAGCACTTGCCAACCAATTAAAGTACCATTCTCAAAACCACCATTTACAAGCATTTCAGAGTTGGATGCATTTTTATCTATAATACTGACATCATCAAGATGCCAAGCCTTCATCGAATTTACAGCTTTAAAACCGAATTCCAATATGTTGATACCAGTAGATGTGGCTGTGTATGTGTACGTTTGATTCTGATAAGTAGTTGGTGAGATATTATACGCAATAAGATAGTTGTTTGATGGCATACACGGAACATCTATAGAAATAAAATGAGAAAGACATGGATACTTTCGTAATTTACGTGCTGGTAACAACCATCGGCACAGATGTGATAGTAAATACTGAGTTCATGACTTCAGAAAGACAAAAACATAAAACATAAAACTTATGAAACATTTCTTTAGTCTATACTATAATAGCTAGAGACAATCATTTTAAAGCGGAAATCATAACTCAAAATACACTCTTCTGACAGATATAACGATAAGAAATCTTTGATAGCCATTAGGTAGTGTCACGCGAAATCAAACTTTTTGACTCAGTAAAGATATTTGTCAGCATTAAAAAATATTGTTACCCAGCAAAGAACAAGTTTGGATTCTGAAAAGACCAATCAGTTATTATTTTCGCAAAAAAAAGTCTTACCATTTTGAAACAATTCGCATCGATAAGAATAGAAAATTAACCAGTTCAATGTCGTCGTCAACTACAAAATCTTCTGAAAAGTCTACCTGCACAACACGTAAACAATAACGACTGGATATCAAAAATAGTTTTTGTGATTTTGATAATATAGAAAGTTTGCTGAGCCAGTATATTTGCCCTTGGAACAATCATCGATGCCAATCTAAGTGACTGTATGTCAAATGATAGACTACTAGAATTGATAGGTCAGCTATATGTCAAAGATATTCTCAGAAGAAACTAGCCTCGATGGTTTGAACATGTAAGTCGAATAAGCAACATACACAGCGAGCCTTCAATCGTAAACAAAGCAATGCACTCATCATTTTCAAATTGTAAATGTCCATAGAAAGCAAATCAGCGAGAAAGATGGCAAGATAAAATGATATTCAATGACCTTGAATAATTCCAAAATTTGAAATTGACGAAGAGAGACTCTTGATCATGAAAAATGGTAAGAAACAATAAATAGAAATGCACAAGTCAAGCCGCTATCGACAAATATTATAGAGATTGTTCAATGTTTTAAATAAAGTACTCATGACCGAAGAACAACCACTGATAATAGACTTTCGTGTAAAGTGACAGAAGTTCTTGCTCGAACTGCTGATTTTAATTGTTTGATATGCAAAAGAAACCTACAAGCCACAAAGAATTACTAATCGTATGAGATACTACGAAATGGAATAGTGCAAGCAAAATGGAATTCAATTGTACTAACATTTTCGTTTATCGAAAAAACTGCATCTCAATCAAAATTTCGAGATAAGACTCCGATGAATAGTCGTGATGATCGAACTCTACAATGATCAAATAATAAGCTCACTGTATGAACATTTTGGGACTCTTCGTCGAATACTTGCAAAGACTACTTCATTATTTTCGTATTTTTACTTGATTGTTGTACTCTTGATCTTCACCCAATTCCACTAGATAAGGATATATCTAATAATAGTATATTTACTTTCTTTCGTGCTATTTGCTAATGTAAATTTACTAGACGTATGAAGAATGAAGTTGTTACTATGTAAGTCCGACTGCAGAGAGTATTCTTATCATAACTTTGCGTGCAACTCAGACGCCCGAAAAATTTCTTCTAGTGATCAAGACTTCAACTTTGTCGAAGTTGGAATTCTAGGCTTGCAGTTCTACGAAAGGACTCTATCATGAAGTGATAATTCTATTGATCATGATTTCTTAGTTTCCATCTCAATTACTCCATAATTATGGTTGCTTAGTTTACAATGCAGACGTGTAAAATTTGGAATTCAGTAAGTTGATTTCTTCAATTATTTATTTAGAAGCATGTTGTGAGCAATAAACTTATCATGCCGAGTTCTTCCATATGTTAAAATATAATAAAATGATACTATTGTATGCAATATTCAGATTTTAACAATTCATACAATACACTTACTTGTAGAAGTTGCGGTGTCTATATGCGTGATTGCTGTTGTTGCAGCTTCTAGAAAAGAAAATAACATATTAGAGTCATGATCTGCAGATGGTAAAAACTTGAAGTTTGAAAATAAAATAAACGATAGAGTTTTTCATTTGCTTTCTTTATAAAAAAAAAAAGAAAATAGAAAAGAAAGTATGTTTTAGAATACAGTGTGAAACAATATCAGTCAAACCGTTTTGATTTTGATTTCACAGACATGAAACAATTGTCTTCTTTTCTCCTTGATTTATTGTGAAGATGATTATTCTATTCAAAATTTGAATTATAATAATCATTTGACTGTAAAAAGAAAAAAACGAATGCATAATAAGGTTGCAAGTGTTTTCTTTTCTAGTTTTAAGGGCAAATTTCATTGTAATAAAATGATTTTAAAAATGCTGATTATCGTAGTGTAAAAGATATTCCACAAGAAGGGTGGTCAATGAGATAAACTAGTAACATTGTGAATAAGCTGTAAATTAAAACACTTCTGCCGCAGAAAAATCTGATTATCCCTTCTTTGCTTTGATTCATTGAAAATTGTTGAATTAAAAATTTCTTTTATGGCATAATTATAGCATACGACAAGAATTCTTTTAATGAGGTCGGACAAAGAAAATAAATTGAAGTCTTTTAATGTGAGACAAAATGTTGTCGCTTATAAGATATTAAGTTTCATTCTAATCAGCGAAGACTAATTACGAGTTGGACTATTTTAAGACTTGAGTTTTGCATAGCTGATAGAAAAACATGTAAATTTTGAAGATAAAAATAGAACTTTTGCTGTAAACCTTCAAATGAATTTATTCCGATGAATTTAAATTATATTGTTAAGTCTTCATTTATTAATTCTTTCGTCTACTTACCGGTAAAACTTTTGTTTGGAAAGTTTATCACAACTGTATTTTCACTAGTGGTCGTCAAGTGCAACTGTCCTTGTGATAGTGGTGCTGAGTAAAGTATACACATTTGATAACGACCATAGTAAATAGCTGTACAACAGTTCGAATCCAAATAACATTGACAAATGCATAAATTACGTGATGGTATATTAGAGAAATTACCAAGCCAGAAATAACTATTGACTGGATCAAATATTGCATTATTAATTACATTAATGCTTATCATCCATGCTAATGGATAACAAGAAATAAGAAATAATATAGCTGTCCAAAGCATGTTGTTTAATAATTTGATACTAAAAAGAAAAACATACATTTATTAAATATTTTTCATTCGTAGATATTATATATTTATAAATATAAAAATAAACTAATATTGTCGTCAAAATTAAAGATACTCAGTTAAACATTGAATAAATTGAGAATTACATTTTTAAACACTAGACATAAGATACAAGGAAATATCGATCAATACAAAATTCGATTGAGTTCAATATCTCATCAGACTTATAAAAAGGATGATATTTGAAATATCAGCTTGAATTTTTAATCTATAAAATTAATTTTATTTTTTAATGTGAATTAACATGAAAATGTTTTATTGAATGACTTCACAAACTTTTCATACTGATCTTTTCTTAAGTAACAAAAAATTCATATTCAGATATTTTTTTATTATTGAAAGACGGTCTTCACCTTTACAAAAAAAAGGAAAACGGTTATAAAGCAAATGAATTCGAATCATTTCATCTGATTATGATACTTTTTTCAACATTGATGGCATACTAAATCTATTCAATTCCTAAATGGAACAGTGTTTTCGTTTTTTCTTCCTACTATTGAGAGCTGTAGATCACTAGAAGATGGTATTCTCGACTTATTCAAGTTTTAATGTAGTACATTCAAGTTTAGTGTTGATATAAGCTATTTGATATTAAATTGAAGAGAAAAATTCGAATGAAGAACAGCATACGAAGTGTTTTTGATATACGTTTTCTGTTGACGTGTGTTATGTAGAATTATAAATCCGAGTTATAAGGACAGTAAATGTTTGAGGAAGTCTTAAATATTATTCTCAGTGAAGAAGGAAATCATATTATATGTTAGTTGTTATAATTTTTGTGTGAATGTTTCTATGTTCAATAATTCTATTTAGATATAAAATATGATATTAATACACAATTATTTGAATATATTTTGATAAAAAAAAAAATATATGATAATTATCGTAAATATCTTGGACAAATAAATCATTTTTAAAGCCTTTAGTAGATTTAAAATATTTAGAAAACCGGGTAATATTTAATTCAATTATTTGATAAATCGAATTCTATCTCATGTATTCGAGTAGTTTCATCAGATTATAATTGCATACATAGAATATGAAATTCATAAATAATCAGTGTATAATGGTGCAAAATTTACTTATCAAAAATTCAACCTATGAACCTCCGGTTTTGTATTACGAAGTGCGCAAATTCACCAATATTTAGTAGCTAACAGATGTGATGCCTAATGTATATCATAGATATACTGCTAAAGGCGACAATATAACGATAGGGACGATATTTCTTTTTACTTGGATCTGTTGTGCTCGCAAAATATAACTTCCTAAGGATCTCATTACTTATACCAGTAACTTCTATAAGAAGAATATATAATTCAAGCACTTCTGACAAAAAAAAACGTTATTTTTCACACGAATGATTAGATCTTATATACAAAATTAATTAGTTCATCTTATAGATTGATTACTCTCAAATATCTAAAATTCATATTCCTTCAGATGTGTGAGTATTACTATCCATTTAAATAATGTTTATGTGCATCTTTTTTTTTGTTAAAGAAAAATCTTGTGTCAGCTTTACAACGATAGGAGAATAAGATTTTTACGTATACTATACCTTAGTATGACTATGAAAAATACAAAAAATGCATAGCGAACAGAACTTAATTCTCACATTCCATTCATAGATTCACACATTGTTTTTGTTCTAACACATTATATCTCACCTTCATGTTTATTCTTTTTTTTTGTTACTTAATTTACACGACGTATTCATTCCAATATATTGTATTTATCAATTTCAGAAAGTTGATAATAACCGCTATTTAAACAAGAAAAGATTATCAAAACTCGATTCACTTAACTCTAGACTGAAGAAATGGAAGTATACATATAAAAATACAATTAGATATAAACGTACGTTAAGCTAAGTACTTGACAAATAAAAGAGATGACTGGACATATAAAAACGATTCGTTTTATAACGCAAATTTTTTGCATTACACAAAACTTGATTTTTATGTTTAGAAAGAAAAATCGATTTTTAATACGCTATATTTGTCTAATGAAATTTAGTTTATATATGCAACACTGTTAGCTTCTCTATAGAAATTATAGCAAACTTTTTGATCGTTGGATGTTGTCATTCTGTTTGCTTCTGTTCTTTAATAGTGACGTTAACGTTTTATTTTAAATTTCAAATGATTATTCAGTAGAGTAAATGAAAACTATTTTTCCCGTATATAGATATATATGTATATGTCGTGCCGAAGTTACACTTCTTGCCGAAGTTATAACTTCGACAATGTGTTTCGTCGAAGTTTAACTTCGACAAACATATTTTGTCGAAGTTAGTGTGAATGATAAAATAAATATCAACTTTCAAGAAATCAACAATATCTTTCATGTTGTATCTTAAAAATTATTTTTTTCCATCAAAACAATAATACAAAATTTATTTTTCAATATTATGACAAACGTACGAATATTCAGACGAATAAAAGGAACAATATGTTAATTTTTTTCTGCGTTGAAATTATTAATATATTATATAATCTTAGAGTTTCATAGAAGATTGTTGTATCTTTACAATCTACCAAACTCCTTTTCATCTGTATCGCAGTAAATACGTAAAAGTACAAGTCGAATGAATATTCATTCTTGCTGAAACGCTAGTATATTTGTCATAATATTGAAAAATAAATTTTGTATTATTGTTTTGATGGAAAAAAATAATTTTTAAGATACAACATGAAAAATATTGTTGATTTCTTGAAAGTTGATATTTATTTTATCATTCACACTAACTTGGACAAAATATGTTTGTCGAAGTTATAACTTCGGCAAGAAGTGTAACTTCGGCACGACATATATATACAGATATGGATGATAAGCGGAAGAAAAAAAGAATTTTAAACACAACCAATATGTGCATATATGTTGTAGGCAAAATTGAAATTCAGGCAAATTTAAAATTTGTCTAGACAAAATTTTAATTTTAATTTTGCCCAGTGAAAATTAAAATTTCAATTTTGACTAGACATTGCTTGGACAGAATTGAAACTTCAATTTTGCTTAGACAAAATTAAGATACAGCTAGGAATAAATTCATACAATGAAAAAATTAAAATCTGAATAGAAAAACTTTATTATTGAAAAATATTTCTTCATTTAACTAAACAATTCCAAGAGAATACATTTCGATCAAATCTTTTAATCTTTTAATCTACTCACTCATATTAGTCTATTTTATTTTTGATAAAGAACGTGATTGTATGAATTTATTCCTAGGTGTATTTTAATTTTGTCTAGGTAAAATTGAAATTTGAATTCTGCTCAAGCAATGTCTAGTCAAAATTGAAATTTTAATTGTGACTGGGTAAAATTAAAATTTCAATTTTGCCTACAACATATTTATGCTACTGGTAAGGAAAGAAAGAAGAATTAATACATTTCAACGATGGTGATACTCGTACAATGACAGAATCGAAAAAATTTGTGACAGAACTGTCAAAGAGAAAACATTAAAATATTATAAGAAAGAAAAAGAAAAGGATATGAAATAAAATAAAATAATTTTAAATAAAATGCTGGGCAAGACAAAACGCAACTTCCAAAAATAGAATACACATCATTTTTGTTTAAAATGGGTAAATTATAATTAGTTCTAAAAGATATATACCCTAAAACTTTGCTTGTATTAGTCAGGAAAAAATTGCCTGCAGGTTGGGTCATGCTTGAAAAAAACTCTTGTCCTCGGGTCGGGTCGGTCACTAAAAAAGTGACCCATGTCGAACACTGATTTTGAGTACTTAATAGTGACTAACATGGCTGTGTACAATACTACTAAATATCATTTTAGTTCATACATTATTAATAATCGTGACTTAAAAAAAGAGATTGAACTTCCAGAAGAAAACTCCTTCACATTTAGTGATGCAAATGAGTAAAAGGATGACGAATTTACCTTTAAGAAATTTATGAAGTCCAAAAACCAGTTAAAAAGATTTATTTTTATATTTTTTAAAACTTAAATCTAACAAATTCAACTTGTTTAAATATTAAATACAATTCAAATCAATTAAAATGGTTTCGATTAGGTATTTAGATATAAATTTGAAAGATTTTAAATAAAAAATATGTCAAGGAGAGATTAAACTTTAAATTGAGTATAGGCACCAAGGAATTGCTAGTTTTTAATTAAGTGGAAGGACAAACTGAAAATCTAATTAAGTTTACGCGAGACCCTGAATGACTATAGAATAAGCACTTACATCATTCGATTATTTTAGTTGAACGGTATGTACACATGTTTTCTACTCTTACGTTCTCGTGTTCAAATCCGTATGTCGGCTGTATCAAAATTCATCTAAGTTATAGCTCTAAAGGTCTATGAAAAAATGCAAATGAGTACATGAATGATATCTGCAACTCAGGCTGTATGAAGTATCTGACGGTTTTAATTTTTTTTCCATCTAGAATATACGACACCACAGTTAGAGAAATGCTGCAAAACTTTTTCAGAAAAACAATCGTTCCACAGCGTTAGTGTTAGCAGATGTAAAACGCGTTAATGCTGACCGGTTTAATGCGTTTCGCAATAATGTGAAAACGCGTTCTTTTTCGCAGAAATTTACTCCATGGGTCTCCTCTCATTTTTTGTTGACAGAAAATGAATATAAAAAGGTCTAATAAGAATATTTCTTCTACGACGTTGGCCTATCAACGATGACGCGCTCTCCTTCTGTGCACACATGGCGAAGTTTTTTTCAATTGCCACCGTCAGAATAAAAAAAACCTTCCCTTTTTCTTTTCTATTTGAAATAACGACGCAAGCGAAGGACAAATTGTCAACATATTCCACGATAGAAAGAGAACTGATGCATAGATACTACATACGTACATGGTAATTGTGTGCCTATTGCATATATGATAAACAAAAACAGTGTACATTTCAGACTCTACACAAAAAA